TCAGGTAAGACTATACTTTCCATCCCTAATGTTTTGTTTAGCAGTAATCACTAAAGCCACCAGAATAGAGACCAGCCCCCTGCCGCCAAGACTGTAAGTATGAAGAACTTATCAGTGATCCAAGGACAGCTTGGAAGACCACTGAATGAGAAGGCAGGAAGAGCAAGGGAGAAAGAGCAATCAGGAGGGGTGTGTGTGTGTGTGTGTGTGTGTGTGTGTGTGTAGGAGAGAGGAGGAAACAGAGACAGACAGACAGACAGACAGAGACAGGTAGAAAGAGAAGAGACTGTCACTGAACTCCAGGAAGGTGACTTGGAGAAGAAGGAGGAGGGAAACAGTACAGAAGGTCAAACTGCATGAATAACTTGAAGACCTGAAAACATGAATAACACTGAAGACCAGCCTTCTGTGGTACAATAAAATGTTCTTGATAAAGGGCAAACTTTATCCTCTTTTGCTGAGGTTAGACATCTTTCAAAAAGAATTGAAAGATTTTGTTTTTGCAAGAAACTTAATCTGCATAAACTATGTTTGATATTCTTTTTTAAAGCATTCAATTTCCTAATGGCAAAAATTTGGAACTGCATCATACCTGAAAAACTGATTTTTTAATAATAAATTTGGTCATAGTCATCTAAATTTCACCTCTAATTGTGATAAATTGTAAAAGAATGCATTAACGGATTTATTTCTCATGTTTTCTTCTGGAATGACAGAAGCAAAGCGAACATTTTTAATCAGTTCAACTTTCCTACCAAAGAACAATACAATCTGGTTAACTTTCATATCCATCAGGGGCACAGGGCTTTTCGGACGTAGGTAGAGGTTTATGAGCATAAAATTGAGAACAATTAGCACTCAAATTAATGTTACATGAGATTCAGCATCTGGTAAGTATGTTGTCATTTTGGGTCATAGACCACCTGCTAGGCTAAATGTTCATACAACTGCAATTTACTCTGCATACAAATGGAATAAGAATGATACTTTAAAAAAAATTTTTTTTTCTAAATTTAACAGTTTGAATGTAGGGGCCTCTCATGTCTTAAAACTTCAACTAAAAGTTCATAATAGATGGAACACATGAGATAAAACAGAGGATTGAAAGGAACAGAAGATACTTTTATTTTTGCAAGCATATTTTATGATAAATTAGCTATATTGCTAACATTAGTTTCACTAGTCAATCTAATCACTGCCACTATCAGTGCCATTCTCCTCTTTATCCACCAAATATTTAAGAGCAAGTAGAGGTCAACCTTTCAAACTCCCCATTTATTTATGTAATTGAGCCCTCAAACATCTGGCTGCTTCTGGCAATAGAGCTGCACCAGAAAATGACAAATCTCAAGATGCCTCTTGCAAGCCTACTGCCAACACCAGCCCATGCACAACATACCCTAATCACTTCTGAACTTTGGTACTCTGGAGCCTCCTATCGTTTCTGTCAATGTAGGCCTTAAAGCTTTAAAGGTGTCCTGCCAGGAACCCCCTCTGAGCTGGAAGCAGGTGCTGACAGGAAGTTTCAGCCCTGGGATCCAGAAGCTTCTATGTCTAGATATACTCTGGGTTTGTGTGGAGGTCAGAGCAGACATAAAGCTTATCCACACCTATTCAGGGGGCCTCTTGCCCTCCAAAGGTACCCAAGACGCCAAGGACGTCTCCCTGGAACAGCCCCCAACATCATCCCCAGCATGGCCTGAAGGCCTCAGGCCTTGTAAGTCAGGGAGCAAAACCAAGTTAAAGAGCAAACTGTAGCCAAAGATCACATACCTTCTGGCCTTGATCTCCAGAGTATGCTAATTCCTGAAAATGCTGACAGTTTATAAGTTTAGGCATCTTATAGAATGCTAAATGATGACCACAATCGAAATAAACGTGAGGGACACCGAGGTGGCTCAGCTGGTTAAGCATCCAACTTCAGCTCAGGTCATGATCTCATGGTTAGTGAGTTCAAGCCCCGCATCAGGCTCTGTGCTGACAGCTGGGAGCCTGGAGCCTACTTCAGATTCTGTGTCTCCCTCTCTGTTCCTTTCCCACTTTTGCTCTGTCTCTCTCTGTCTCCCAAAAGTAAATAAGTGTTAAAAAATTTTTTTTAAAAATATGATGATCATATATCAGAAGGGTGAGTTAGTGTCCTTTTTGTTTTTACTTAGTTGCCTTTCTACATGATCAGGTTCTTGGCCACTTCAGCCAAACTGGTGAACTCTTCCCTTACTACATACAACTAGACAGTATTAGGCTGGAAGCAGAAGATGTGCCTGTGGTTATCTACAGAAGATTTCAAAAGCAAGGAAACTTCCTGCACCTTTGAAGTTTAAATGCAAAAATCACAATTTTCACCTTGCTTAGAGAAACGAGACAGTCTTTAAAAAAGAAGCAGTTTGTGATTCAAGCACCAACTAAAGAGCCGTGTTAAATCTGCATGTTAAAGCACCTAAAAGTTACTCTATTAGTTCTGAGAACTCTGTGCTTGCTGTGTACTTTTCTAGATAGAGTAGGAAATGTCCTATCTAGAATCATGTCTATTAAAACCATCTATTTATTGGCATTGCCGTGCTTCTGTAACACGCTTCCCATTGATTCTTAGAATAATGATTATTGTCATGGCTCAGTTGTCATGGGGATAGTTTTAAGAGTCAAGTTTTGATGTCCAGCTGCCTGACTTTCAATTCTGGTGGCTCCATTTGCTCCCTGTGTGATCCTAGGCAAGTTTGCAAACTCTTCTTGAAGCTTTGGTTTTGCCGTCTGCAAGGTGAGCATCATAATAGGCCCACCTACATAGTTGTTGAGTGAAAAGGATAATCCTGGAAAAGTGTATAGCACAGAAGTGCCAGATAAATATTGGCTCTCAATAACATCAAGGGATTACCTGATCTTGAGTCACCAAAGAAAGACTAAAGCATGTCTAATATATTTTGTTCTGTGTTTGTGTTTAAAAGATATTTTGTGATATTTTGGTTTTTTCAATAAGCATACATGTTAACTCTCTATTTGACAGCCATGCTTTATTTGATTAACCAAAATGTGTCAAAGAGCTTTGAAAAATTGTTGGTCTGTGGAAGGGTTTAAGGTGACTATTGCATGTAGGGTGTAGAACGGGTTACGGTCACACGGGTGGGTAGTTGGTGTTCCAGGCTCCAAACAGAACAGCCCTACTTTTATCAACTTTAAATATTGGGGTCCTCAAAGGATACAGGAGTTCTGATTCACAGGGGCACATATACCCCAATGTTTATACAAATGTTTCAACAAAGCCAAATTATGGAAAGAACCTAAATGCCCATCAACCGATGAATGGATAAAGATGTGGTTTATATACACAATGGAATACTACTTGCCAATGAGAAAGAATGAAATCCTGCCATTTGCAGCAACGTGGATGGAACTGGAGAGTATTATGCAAAGTGAAGTCAGTCAGAGAAAGATAGATATCATATGTTTTCACTCATGTGTGAAACTTGAGAAACTTAACAGAAGACCATGGGGGAAGGGAAGAGGAAAAAAAATAGTTACAGAGAGGGAGGGAGGCAAACCATAAGAGACTCTTAAATACAGAGAACAAACTGAGGGTTGATGGGGGGGGAGGGTAGAGAAGAAGAGGGGTGATGGGCATTGAGGAGGGCACTTGTTGGGATGAGCGCTGGGTGTTGTAGGTAAGTGATGAATCATGGGAATCTACTCCCCAAACCAAGAGCACACTTTACACACTGTATGTTAGCCAACTTGACAATAAATTATATTTAAAACATATATGTATACTGGGCTTCTCAGTAAATTTTAGTTTGAACAAAGGGTTCTGCAGCTAAAAATAGGAATGGAGTATGCCAGAGAGGGTGGATAAAAACATTCATGGTTTCTGTATCTATTATTTTTTAAAGGCATATTACAGATAAATAATGAAGGCTGTATTTGAATCATTACCATTTCAGTTCTGATTCTACATTAAAAACTGACCTTTAACCAAATCATAACTGAAGGATATTTGGAATTGCATCATTTTCCCTTTCTGGCAGTGTTAAGTCAGGAGAGCTCATTAAACCCTCTGTTCATCATCCTTCATTTGTGAAGTCTATTACAATTAACCAAAGCGTTATCACTCAGAATGGAAATGATTTAAGTGAATCTGGCCACCAAAACCCCATAGTTGACATTTGTCCGTATCTCAAAAGTAATCCAGAGCCAAGCAAGCCTAAAGCAGAGTGCAGGGGTTAGGTCCACGGTCTCTGCAGTCAGACTGCCAAGGATGAATCCGCTTTGTCCACTTACAGGCTGTGTTCTTGTGTAAGTCACATCCTATCTGTGTCCCTCAACTTTCTGTTCACAAAATGGGGACAATAGCACCAATTTTGTAAAGCTATCATGAGGATTTAAAAAGAAAATGTGCACAAAGTACTTAGAACAAGGGAAGGTAGAAAATAAGTACTCAGTAAATATTAGTTCTCATGGTCATTAAGTATATGAGTTTGTTTTGCAACCATTTTCATGACACTTGAATTATTTCCAAGTCTAATTACAAAAATCAGCATATTTGTCATTTCAAATTTTCTTCAACTACAGAAGGGATGGTAACTAATTAGTCTTATATTTTAATTCTCACTTGGCAATTTTTCTCTTTCCTTTCATATAACGTTATTTCTTTAAATCTTAAACTATGAACAGAAAAATCAAATTCTCTTGAAAAAAGCACACAGAAAAATATTAAGCCTGCAAGCTTGTCCTGAACTTTCTATTATCTTGAATGGAAGGAGATCCATGTAATCTAACCATATTTTACTACTATGCTCTGTGTATGTTTATATTTTTTAAAAAGCATAAATAATGAAATACGTACCATAATAAAATTTTGATATATCATGCATTTGACATTTTGATGCATATACTTCTACTGTGCCTCTAATATTTGTATTTATAATGCCTTCCAAGTACAATTCCTGAAATTTAGGGGGAAAATACCCTTTGATATCAAAGCCTTTAATTCATTTCCTATTGTATTTCAGATCTTCAAGGAGTCCACATGTTGCCTCAGACAGCTGACTGGTCATCTTTTCCTGCCCAACAATACCTCTTGACTCTTGGGTTCAAAGACAAAGAAGATGGAAAATTTTTGGAAAAACTATCAAGTAGGAAGCTGCCTACATTTACAGGTAAATCACATGGACTTATTATTATCCTTCAGTGCTGTTCTAAGGCAGGAACTGTGCATTCTTCAGCAAATCTTATTCATCACAAGGCCTAGCATATAGTAGTGCTAGACCCCAAAAAATGTTTGTTGGGTAATTATTAACTCCTTCCAGTCTTCTTTGTGGATTAGTTAACAATACCTGGGATTCAGACTCCCCCAAGACCAATGCAATTCTAGAGTGCCTGCCTCCCTCACTCCAACCATCTCACCCCCATAGCACTAAACATAAAGTGCCTAAACATAAAGCACTTAAAGAATACAAGTTTTTGTTCTTATCAGTTAGCAAATGTAGAAGGAAATTATCCGACAAACGTATTATGCAAAATAAAAAATATAGCCAATGACAACTTTAAATCACTTGGATTATCTGCTTTTGTACTGATATTTGTTCCATTCTCATGTAATTAACCGAGAGCTTAGATCTCCTGAAGAGTATTACAGTTAAATGGTATTCAGTAATTCTAGTTGAAACTTTCAAAAATGAAGAAAATATTCACATGGAGTCGAAGTCTCAGATTTGTGGGCAGAATTCATGACCAGGTTAAATTTATTCCTTCAGCTCTACCCACATAATTAAGGATTTGTGTTTTATCTGGCACTCTATCCTCCGAGGTTTATCTCAACTTCAAGCCACATTCAAAGTCAATGGGATCTGCACACTTGAATAATACCTGGGAGGAACAAAACAAGAATCAGACACATTTATGACAACATTTTTTCACAAGTCAGGAAAAACACTCTGCAGAGAGAGATGAATTGTTATAGGCTGTCTCTTAGATCTCTCAATCAGGAAACACAACAAAATGAATAAATGATAGTCTCGAAAGGGCAATGTCTCCTCTGCCTTTCTCCTCATAGATCTTTCATTGTTATGCATGTGGTCTAGGGATGGTACTAGTTTCTACACTAAAGATTTCATATCTATTAAGGTTGAGATATCTGTATATAGCTTGCCAAAGAAAGCATTTTTGAAATGAAAGTCTGGAAAAATAGTATAAAAGTTTACTGTTACAATTTTTAGAACATAAAACTCCCTTCGGTCTGCTGACCAAAGAAGACACAGTGAGGCACATGGAGACAATGGGGAAGCGGATCTTGCCAATACTGGACTTTATTAGAAGCACCCAATTGAATGTAGGTATATGAGTGTCTTATATTTGTCCAAAGCACAAATTTTAGACAATTCCAAAAGTATGGAAAGTTTATGGTGCAAATATTGCAAATATTGGAAGATTTCAGAAGCATTCATGGTAAATCTCATCTGCAAAACCAAGCAAAGTTTAGCTGATGATTTGGGTTGTTTTAATATATTTTAAAACAAAAACCGCACTGAGATACCACCTCACGCCAGTCAGAGTGGCTAAAATGAACAAATCAGGAGACTATAGATGCTGGAGAGAATGTAGAGAAACAGGAACTCTTGTGCACTTTGGTGGGAATGCAAACTGGTGCATCCGCTCTGGAAAACAGTGTGGAGGTTCCTCAAAAAAATTAAATAGACCTACCCTATACCCAGCAGTAGCACTGCTAGGAATTTACCCAAGGGATACAGGAGGTTACTTTATAGGGGCACTTGTACCTAATGTTTCACAGCAGCACTTTTCAACACAGCCAAATTATGGAAAGAGCCTAAATGTCCATCAACTGAGAATAAAAAATTGCATGAGTATACAATAATGGAATACCACATGGCAAATGAGAAAAGAATATGGCCTTGTAGCAAATGCGGATGGAACTGAGAGTGATGCTATGAAATAAGTCATACTGAAAGATGAGATACCATATAAGCCACTCTTGTAATCCTGAAAGAAACATAAATAGAAGACCCATGTAGGGAAGAAAACAAAGAACAGTTAGAGAGGGAGGGAGCCAAACCATAAGAGACTCTTTTTAAAAACCGAGAATGTCTGGAGGGTTGATTGGGGGTGGGAGGGCCGGGAGGGTAAGTAATGGGCAATTGAGGGGAGGGCACCTGTTGGGATATATCTCGGGTGTTGTAGAAACCACACAATAAATTTATATTTTAAAATGATATGTATATGTATGTATATATATTATGTTAATAATAATAGTCATTACACATATATACATATGTATATATGTTTCTTAAAATATATATATACATCACACATTACACACTAACACACACACAATAATAATAATAATACACACACACATATATACACATATATATACACATAACAAATTCTGAAATTGCATAGTGAAGTATCAGTAATATGTTTTAAAAATATATATATATATATATGCATAGTTGTACATATGTACAACACACCATCAATATTATATATACACAATAAGTATATACATATATAATAATATACATATATACACATGCCATACGTGGTACATGGTATGTGCGTGCATATTTCCATAGGTAATATTTTTAAAACATATTGCAATGCTACACTATGCAATTTCTAGAATTTATTAGGCTAGTGTCTCTTTAAAGAGATTTTTCTTTGTGCCTTCCTGATATCTAATTCAAGTTTGCAGTACATTTGTCACTTCAAATCAGCAACACATTTTTAGTGAACACAGTGTTTCCCTACTTCATATATTGGGCTATTATACGTAACTATTTTGTTACGTACACAAGAATTCGGAATTTTCAAGCTAGTGCCTCTGCACCACACTTCTAAATTGGATACTACCCTAAGAGTTGGCAATTGATCTTTGTACACCCCTAAGGTAAGTTTTCTGATCCAGGGAAAATTTGCCCTTTCTACTTTTCAGTGTTAAAAAGCCCAAAATAAGACCTGAATTATGCTGTACTGTTTTACAAAATGTAAGCCATTATGCTGAAAGTTCATAAAGGGAACTTCCCATTAACAGGCTATAAAGACTACAGATTTTCCCCTTTTAAAATATTTTTCAAAAGGCCTAGAAGCTGGAAATTTTGAAGAATTTTCTTTTTGTGGCTTTTGTATTACATCATTGATTTGATGTTCTTACCTTACAAGGGGAACCAAGGGGGTCATCACAAACAGCTACTTAACATCTGTTCAGCAGTTTATCTGCTCAATAACATTATTCAGCATTTTTAAAAAGCTATAAAACCCCTAATCTATTTGCACGATTTGTAATTCTATGCATTACAAATACAAAAGCACATTTTTACTGATTTTCCTACCACATAGCTCCCCCCCTCCCCATAACTGCGTTCCACTCAATTATCTCTCCTATATTTCTACTAAGAAGAAATCCAGGAGTGCCTGGGTGGTTCAGTCGGTTAAGCGTCTGACTTTGGCTCAAGTCATGATATCACGGCTCATGAGTTTGAGCCCCACATTGGGCTCTGTGCTGACAGCTCAGAGCCTGGAGCCTGCTTCAGATTCTGTGTCTCCCTCTCTCTCTGCCCCTCCCCCACCCACACTCTGTTTCTCTCTCTCGAAAATAAACAAACATTAAAAAATTAAAAGAAGAAGAAGAAGAAATCCATTTCCATTTTCTCACAGTTCTAGAGGCTAGAAATCCAAGATCAGGGTGCCACATGCTCAAGTTCTGATGAAGTCCCTCTTCCTGGCTTGCAATCGGCGCCACCTTCTATCTGTGTGCTCACGTGGCAGACAGTAAGCTCTCTGGTGTCTCTTCATATAAGAGCATCAATCCTATCACGAGGCTTCCACCCTAATGACTTTGTCTAATCCCAAAGGCCCCATCACTATACCATCACACCCAGGATTAGGACTTCAATATATGAATTTGGATGGGTGGATACAAACTTTCAGTTTATAGCAATCTCATTGGCTCTACCACAAATTTTAGGTCCTGTTCTCCAATTTACCCTCTATCATAACCTCCTCCAGCCATACACACACCATCACCAACCTCGGTTAGAGACCCGCGTACATCATCCTTGTCATCACCAGACCCTTGCAAGCAGTGGAATCTTTGCTAACAAAAACCATCACCATACAGCATTATTTCACCTCTTCAGTTCATGGTTAGCCTAGCAGAGCCATGGTTAGCTTAGCAGAGCTGAAAGTTGTGGAAGTGATCTCTTGGTGCCCTGGCTCTTTGGGGCAACAGTGGCCATACCTTATTACTTGTCAGGGCACTGGCCACATCACCTCTTGCCAGTTCATATCTCACAGTGTGTTGTGTATGCACTTTGGGCCTATCTAGATATCACACACTTTTTAAATATTCTTCACTCATTTTCTTCTCACGTTTCAAAGGGCATTCTATCCACTTATAAATTTGTATGTGCATGTATCTTCATGTGTCCATAAAGGATATTTGAAAACCACAACTAAAATTCTTAGCATCGAAATAATCCCTCAGTCTTCTTTAAAATAAGTCAGCACCACTTTGCTACGTGCAAGGCATTTTATCAACATTTCTAGGTTAACTCTATGGGAAATGGAATCTTCCAAAATAGTTTTTAGAAGATTATCTCAAATATGGATGCAATGGAATTGAAGCAAGTGAGCCAGAAGGTACCCAGGAACCACAAGTATATCCAAATATTGGCCTCTAGGCTTTTTCTTGTATGTCCAACTACAGCTTCATAAAGCAGGACTGAATAAAATTGGCTGCGAAGGTAACCTAGCTTAATGAAGCAAGTAATGAGTTGGTAAGTAGAAATTATTGCTACATTTTGCCATTAACCGTGACCCAAGAAACACTCAACAGTGTTTTTAAGATTCCCTGAAGTATGTGTTTTTTTTACTTGTCACATATCAAATGCTGTCCACTTGAATGTTTAGGTATTGCATTGTTCATATTAGTTGTTACCCTCACTTGTGACACCTACAGATGAAGACTTTGGTCCAAGGCTATGCTTTGTGTAACCCTAGGGCAAGTCGCTTAACCTCTGAGCTATTTTTTCTCATTTATTAAATAAGCTGATATCTGCCAGGCCCACCTCACAGAGTTGTTGGAGACCAAAAGTACATAATCCATGTTGAAACACTTTGTAAAGCAGTACAAATTTCAGGATTTTAAATTATTTGTATTGGTTTTAGTTTGTTTTGACAAAGGACAGTTTGATAGACCTTTGTTTTTCTTTATGCAAGCTGTATACTTGGAAATTATATGTTCCTCTAAAATGATTGTGTGAGTGTCCTACAGATTTCTAACTTTTTTCCTTAGATCACTAATGTGCTCAGATCTATTCACAAAGGCAGGATTAGAAGTGTCATCTCCAGCCATGGAGTGAATCTACTCACCACAGTAGGGCTTCCCAGGGAACATGAATTTTCATCTCTTGCCACGAGACGGTAGAAGGAGACAAGGACATTCCTGGTTTTCTGTGTGTCAGGCAATGATTCTCCTTACACTCTGACCCCAGTTTCCTTATCTTTATAGATTCCTTTACTAGGCATACAACAATAACACATGGCCAAACAAGAATGATTCTGGTACCGTAAGAGTTATAATCTAAAACATTCTACCACCTTCCTACCCGGTGGCTCTTAATCCCATTTAACATCAACCCCACTCAACCAGTAGCTCTGCTCTAATGGTATTTTTCCTTCTCTGGATCCTTGTCCTAATTATTTCACATGCTACCATATGCCATTGTGCTTTTCCATTCATTAACTTTATTGGCTGCTGTCAGTTTCAAACCTTATGTACTGTGCTTCCTGGGCTAAATGTTAAAGAGTTAAAATAATAAAATCTCTCGCCATGCATGAAGCCTTCTTCACAGCCTGACTTGCCAAAAAATGACCTAACCATGTTTTAATACCTCATTAATTTTACTTTTAATTTCCTCCAAGTGAAGCATAAAAAATGTTTACATATACACATTTGAAATGAACAATGATATGCGTTTTCTACCCCTTTTTTGCAATTAATGATTCTACACGTATGTCAAATGGAAATATATTTACTTGGGTTCTGCTTTCTAATGGTATTATATAGTACCACTTACTTGCCAAACATTTAACCATACCTGCTGTTAAATCTAGGCAATTCTCGGACTGAAGCTTTCATTTGCACTTGATATTTACCTAACCTTCATTGTACCTGTATGAGGTTTTAGCTTCAGTCTTGGCCACTTTATTACACTCTTTCCAGCAGCTAAGGACACTTTTGATCACTCCTGAAGTCTCATTGGGAGGGCTACTTTCCCTTTAGATTTAGCTTTTGGTAACATTAGATGTTTAACCTAATTCCTTCATGTTTCATTATTTCCTTTATTTTCTTAAAGAAACAGCATCAAAACATTCCTCCTGGCGTTAGATATCAATTGGTATCTCTTTTTCACTATGTCTCTCAAAAACCCACATCTTGTATAGGTAAAATATTAACTTATAGTCCCCTGATAACTAAAAATGCATTGGCTTAAGGTAGTGGGGGAGGATAGGTAACGATTAGCAGTCAACTATGCTCTCTCCCTAGAATCTGATTTGTATGGAGCGCTTCCTGTTTTGTTATGCATCCAGCAATCAAGCTAACAAAGCACCATTGCCTTCCACTATTTTTATTTTCCTGATGTTTTGGAAAATTACACTGATAGATTATGTTCCCGAGCAGACTGCTGTTGTTTCTGCTCTTTGGAGTTGAGTCACTACACCACTTTCCTACAATGAGCCCCATTGTTTATTTTAAAGAAGAACAAAGAAAGCAATTTTTCTTCAGAAAGAAAACAGTTTCTCCTGCAACTTGCTTTCCTCTATTTGACAGTGTCCCATTGTTTAGCTACATGTTTAAACTAAATGGGTAGGCTAGCTATTTTGTCAAGTCAGAGAAGGGATCCCAAATCCACAATTGCAATCATCACTCCTATAGGCTCACAGGTTTTCAGATAAATGATTAATCAAGAAAAACAAATTAGCAGAGATAGAAGGGCATTAGTCAAATGGCACAGATAAGTGTTAGGGAGGCATATACAGCATATACAATGTAATGCTCCTCAACCTTCCTATACTACCAAGATGCTAGAAGAGTGCCAACTTCTAGAGGTCAGTGTCCATCAAAACACGAATGTGACATTTCAGAAAGAACTGCTTTCCACATGCAAGTTGAAATTCAGATGCTCTTTAGTAACGCTAGTTTCTAATAATTTTTCTTTTTAGAAGAGATTCTATTTTAAGAAGAAAAAATCATGTCTGCCTTCTCTAATGTCTGGAGAGAAAAATCTGTTCTATAAACATACACAAACTAAAATAGCCTTTGTTCAAATATTAGGCTTTAAAATGGTGGTTTGTTCAACTTCAACTTGAGATATTTGAATATGGGGGGGAACCTAGCTAAAAATCATATTTCTAGGGCAACATATCAAGAGATAGTGATTCACCTTGTAAGGCCCAGTACTCTGCACAGTTAACAAAACCTCATGATTCCTGTACAGGTGGTCAAGGAGGAACCCTGTTATAAAGGAACACCAGTCATCCAGACTTACTCTTCTGAGCACCAGGATGTGGAATGCAGTTGCCAAACTATATCTTCCTGTGACTTCCCACTTCTTATCACCCTCCAAATACAGCAGAAATTCAAAGCTTTTATATTAATCCTTAGATACCCTTCTGTCCCCTTTTTCCTAAATATAAATGAGAATTTTGTGATGTTTTATTTTTCCCATCAAGCATTACAATTTGTATTAGAAGTTTTAGAGAAGGTCATGTCTCCTGTTTTATGGCTGACTGGCACACCTTATTAAAAGTGTGCCCCATTTTTAAGAAAGCCCAAAATACCAATAGATTCATGGGGGAGGGGCTGGCCCTTACAAATGTGTACGGAGCCTATTTCAGGATGGATTGTGTCAGTTGTTGGGATGGTCCAAGGAGCCAGAATCAAGTGCTCTAATACCACAAGGAGGGGAACCAGAGTCCAAGGCCATCCAGTGAGAACTAAAGGTAAAAGCAGATTTAATTTTAGCCATTAGGGTAGACAGAATTCAATATGCATAACATTTTTCAGGATTCAACTTGCATAAAAAGTATTCTTTTATATACACAAGACAGTAGGCAACTCTTAGCTCCCATGATGCCTTGGTGACATAGATAAAGTCACCCTCTCTAAATGAACACAACTTTGTGGGATCCCCACTGGGAGAGTGGAACACATTCGATTTCAGTCCCCTCTTTTCCCCTCAGCCCAGATTCCTTCTACAGGGCCACCTGCACATCCTTCTCAACAGTCTTGCAAAGCGTTTCCTTTTTGTACATTCATCTGTTTGAAGGAAGGGTGCAGACAATTCTCTAAAATAATGGAAAGAAATACTTATTTGTGTTAGGTAGCCATCGCTTCCAAGGATGTAAATATAATAATCCCTGACTTCAATCTCTAGGGAGAGGTCTATTTCCATGATTTTGGTCTAAAACATTTCCTTTTACTGGGAGACTAGGGGAGTTTCCACGGGTGCTCGGGTGTGATGGAGAAGCTGCAGTATGCCAGCCTCCTGAGCCGGCTGCAGAGAGTGAAGGAGCAGTCCCAGGTGATCAATCAAGCAATGGCGGAGCTGGCAACCATTCCCTATCTACAGGACATCAGTCAAGAGGAGACGGAATTGGTAAGTGTTTTTCTTTGTTTAAGGCTTTCACAGGCCCCCAGCCAACAGAAGAATGATATGTCCTGAAAAACAAAATTGTGAGAATCAATGTAGTCTGAGGGCAACCTGCCCAACCCTCCTGAGGCATTTTAATAAAGAAATTGGAAAATGTAGAAAGATGTGTTTCTGTCTTTTATTTGCTCATGTCGACTAGCCTCCATTTTTATATTAAGAACTTTGTGATGTGTAAAAACATGGAAAAGGGCTGACTACTCATATTGTGGGTCAGGCTTTTTGCTTTAAATAAAATATAATTTTGATAAATTATTTCTTAAACTCCCAGATGGGTTAGTATATAATTTTCTTGTAAGGGAAAGTAGAGAGGACAAGAGTAATTACTATATAAAAAACAACCCTATGAAATAGTCTTTTTAGTTTTCTTATTCACTTCTAGCATCACATATATGTTGGTAGTGCCAACACACACACACACACACACACACACACACACTGGTACATTTAGATAAAACAGTTGTTTCATTGCAAGGGAAAATGTAGTTAGACAAATGGCTTTTTTTTTTCTTAACTGAATTGACCAATTAACTCAGAAAACACAGAGCCAGTCAAAAATCAGTTGATGGACTATCTCACAGAAACAATCTTCAAACAGATGTGTCTATTATAACCATAATTAATATGAGAAATGATGGCTCCTCATTTGTAAAACTATTACTAACCAATGTGAGGGCCATTCGAGGAAAGGTAAAATTCACTGTATATGGAAATCCTAATGTGTTGTAAGGGAGGGCTCTTTACTTTGAGGCTTTAATTGAAGGTAGCTAAAACTAATTATAGACCTGAATTGAATTCACATAGCAAGGATGAGAACAGCCCAAACCGATCACCTGTAATTTTCAGATAACTAAAGCAACCCTCCCTCTTTGAGCTTTTAAAGTTGTAACAAATTAATCCAACAAGAAGTGAACTGCCAACATTTATAATGTTCATCTGACCCTATAAAAAGGTATTATAAATACTGATATTCAAAGTATATAAAAGGGTCTGACTAGCTGAATGATAAAACTATGCGTACCAAAGTATTAAACTGTGGGGGGAGGGAGTCTAGTAATCAAGGAATTACTAAATCAAAACCGGCAATAATACTTTGTAAACCTTTATGGTTGTGCGCAGTGGAGCACCTTCTAAAAGGCTAAGTGTTTATCCTTCCATTCATAACGCATTCAGGAGTGCAGTAAGTATGGAGTTTTCAAAGTGCATATTATAGCCAATTTTAGATGATTAATGCTCCTCTGAGATAAGAGGAAGCAAAGAAAATGTTAATTTAAGAAGCTGGCACAGTGTTGATCCTGTCTTCCTAAAAAGCACACTCAAGATTTAAATGAAAAATACAGGGGAGTTTTCTGCACTTAGGTCTTCTTAACCACCTATCTGGAGCTTTTTTTTTTTCCTCTGGAAATACTTACATTTCCAAATATATACACAGAGCATCAAACTAGCATTATTGACATCCCTTACTCACATGTTGTGCAATATCCCATTATCTGAAACCTTGGAAAATAGGATTTCAGGGGTATTTTCATAATTTATATGCCTACTAGAAAAAAATGTAATGTATATGGACGTACATGTACAGGCCAAATATTTAAAAATCATGTATCTTACAAGATTTCATCACCTTAAGTAATAGATTTTACTTTCCAACTTCCAAGCATAGGTTAACCTAGAAAATAAATCCTGGTAATATCTTTTATGGTGCTATATAAACAGTGACTGCTCAGTAGAAGAGTTTTGAGTGACTCAACTCTGCCCTCCTGCTTAAGCTCTGCAATATCTAAAGTACAGAGAGATTATCTAAGGGTTCATACTCTTTGATGGCACAGTGAACTGAACTGACATTTGTTCTTTTTTAGAGAACTTTCTTCTCTAGCTTTGAATATCGCATGGCTCGATGCAGCTTCATTACCTTACAACCGCATACGTAGCATGTAGATCAGATTCTTTTCAATTGGGACAAGGCAGTTTGGGGCAAAGGGTGGACTTTTTTAAACTTGCCTTTCAAAAAGGCAACTTGGTTATTTTGAAATTTTAGGAAATAAAAGGATAGTAAAAGAACTTAAATGAGCTAGATCCTTTAAAATGCAATAAAACAGCACAATTTTAGTATTGTCCTCGGGTGAGCTTTTGCATGAGGCCTAGAATTATGATACATTAGCCTCAGGAGAAAATACTAAAGTGCGCTCATGTACTACATGCCATTTCCTGAGAGAATTAACTACCGCCTTCATTCTTTACAACCCAAATCTGTTTTTTACAAAACAGCAACACTTACTACATTAAAACCTATATGTTTTCTACAAATCCTCAAGAAGAATCTTTCCATTGTTACAATATTTTATATCTGCAATAATACTTGGTAATGACTGAAGCAAAGATGAGGTGGCGGTGTTCATTGTCGGAAAGATGAGTAATAAAATCATCAGCGTACAAATGATTTTTTAATTAGGTTTTAATCTGTGTATTTAGAGAAGTCATTTCTGTGTGAATTCCATGCTGATAATTTTTATCTTGGTGCCACAGCTGCAGTCACTAATGGCAGATGCTATGGACACCCTTGAAGGAAGAAGAAACGATAAAGAACGTGTGTGGAATACAATCCAAAAGGTAAAACTTTGAGCTGAAGGAAAAAAGATATATTATTCTCGGAGAAAATGTCCATCTTGGGTCAAATCTGTTTAGAAGATACAAAGAAAAGAAAGCTCTTCAGGTTGTTTTATTGTCTGTTTGGGTTTTTTAAATAAATGCAGCTATCTCCCTGGAAGTGTAACCAGAATCAAAATGGATTTATTTAATCTATTTCCTCAGGTCTGCTCCTCCAGCAGATTGTGGTCATATGCTTTCATGGGTCTTCTTGTGCTCATTTTCATATTCTATTTTCATTATCTGCCTTCTCCATTATTGCTTATTGTAGATTTTCTTAAGGCCCATTCATCAATGTTTTAGTCCACCTCCCAACACTTTCCCCTATATTTTGTCACTTGAGGAAGAATGGCTACATTTCAGAGAACTACAGAAAAACTAGCACATTGATGCTTTGAGTGGAGGAGTAACATACTGGTTATTAGAAGTAGAGGAACAGTCAGGGTGCCTGGGTGGTTCAGCTGGTGAAGCAGCCAACTCTTGATTTTGGCTAAGGTCGTGATCTCATGGTTCGTCCTCTCTCTCCCCCCAAAATAAAGAAATAATAAAACATTTAAAAAAGAAGTAGAGGAATAGTCTACAACCATACCACCCTGAATGCACCCAATCTCTTCTAACCTCGGAAGCTAAGCAGGGTCAGGCCTGGTTAGTACTTGGATGGGAGAAGTAGAGGAGCATCCCTTCATTGGTTACCTGAGTTAAATAAAACAAGGACAAAGATGCACCTAGCATCAGGTACTCGGAAGACTTGTGTGACACTACAGAGCTCTCTGACAATGTAGGAGGGAGTAATGTTGGGTCTCCAGTCCAATTAAAGGTAATAAATTCTAGTCAGTCTACTCTCCATTCAGTCTCCTCCAATTACTGTGAGAACCCATAAAGGGAGACCTGGTGTCAGGAGATGTGAGAATAAACCAAAGAAGCCTCCGGTTTAAGAGGTAATAGTCAGCCATGAAGGAATCTAGTGCATGTGAGGAAATGGGTGTCTTCTGTAATCATTTCAGAGGTCCTATGGTAAAATACCTAGAACAGAAATTAACTGAATGCAGCAAATATTTGTCGACAATCTACTGTGCTAGAAAGAACACTTACGGATATTGTGCTGGACAATACAAACACAGCCCCTGCCTATATGAGCCTGACCATCTTGGAAAGAAGACAAGTATACAGCTACAAATTTACTGAATATTGTAGTTAAAAAGTGGATGTTCAATAATCTATAGAAACAAATAGGGAAATATGATCTGGTCTGGGAGGTCAGAAATGCCATCTCTGAGAAAGTGATATTTATACAACATTTCAAGGATATGTAGTAGTTATCTAGGAGAAAAGGGAGATTTCTGCAGAGAAGGAAGAGTTTATGCCAAGAGCACAAAGAAAGCAGGGCACATTTAACAACTGAGAAAAAATGTTAAAGGAGCAAGGAACATATTTCAAAATGAAGTGCAGAAACGGAAGTCAAATCACAGAAAGACTTATAAATTATGTTAAGGATTTGGAATGTTTCAGAAAGCGTTTATCTGGAAAATGTTTCTGAGACATCTCTAGAGCTACAGTGGGAGAACAGATTGAGGAGCTATAGAAATGTGGGGCAGTCAGTTATAAGGCAATGGCCTGATCTATGGTGGTGGGTGTGGAGACGAAAAGAAGCAGACAGATAGAAGGAATGTGCAGGAAGCCAAATCTATAGGCCTTGTTCACTGAGTGCATAAGGGAGTTTAGAGAACAGGAAAAGTAAGAATGATGCCCAGACATTGGGCTTGAGTCACTGGGCGGGGAATGGCGAGAGGTTCACTGGTACCATTTACTAAGGAAGAAAGCCCTTCAAAAGTGTAGCTTTGGGCTGAGACTGTAAACTCTTTCAGAATCCAGTCAGGAGACTTGAAAGGGAATTTAATATAAAGAATGGCTAACTAGGTATGTATGTCATTGTTAACTAGGGAACTGAAAAAGCAAAGGAGAACCATAAATTTAGCACAGAAGAAGCAATTAAAATGAGCAGCTACCACCCATTAGGGCTGGGAAATCAAAGAGAAGAGACTGGAATTACTAAAACTTCGAAATTTGGAGCAAGGACCCTGCTGGACCAAAACTTAGACCTCCCACTAGAAGGCATTGCTCAACTGGTGCTATTATCTCCACTCTTGGAGCGGAATCCTGAAGGGTTGAGATCCAGACTTAGGAGGGGGCACTAACTCACTGGTGCTGATGGGAGGGAGGGTGGCAGGAGCAGGGAGGGAGTGGTAATGGAGGTAATTGTGCAACTTTCGAAAACACTAGATTCACCTGCTACTACAGAAAGGAACACAACTTTCTGGAGCAAAGAAGCCTCATTTCAGAGATGCTCACAGGAACCCCAAAGGGCAGGAAGTCAGCAGCAAGTCCCTCCTTTCTCCTTTGGCATTGCAATGCCCCTATATCACCTCCTAGTGATGGAGACTAACAACTGGCAAAACAGAAATGAGGTTTGCAGAGTTCCAGCCCCCAGCATCACAGAGTTAATCATAGAAGGGTGGGTTTGGAGTTAAGAAATTATGGGCTAATAACTGGCACAAAAATGCATTGAGCTTAGGATGCTGGCAAAATATCCAAGGGAAAGTACAGGAGTCTGGAGTTCTGGATAAAAGACCAAACAGAGATTTTTTTAGTTGTTGGCAAATTGATATCAACTGAAATCATAAGAGAGGGTGAGATGGCTGAGAAAGAGCATAGAATAAGAAGAGAGCCTTGCAGAGCACATTCCAAACTTAAGAAGAGAACCATACAAAGGAGACTCAGAAGAAATGGCAAGAGGAATTGCAGCTGGAGGTAAACCAAATGCAATGCTGATGAGAGTCAAGCAAAAGAATCAAATATCTCTGTTCGCTATAGAAATCATTTTTTGGCATGAGGTTAGAAAACTAGAGCGCACAGGTCAAAACCAACTAGTCACCTATTTTTCTAAATAAAATTAAAAAAAAAAAATTTATCGCACACAGCCATGTCATTCATTTACATATGGTCTATGTCACCTTGGTCAAGTTGAGTAGTTGCTAGAGAGGCCGTATAGCTCACAAAGCCTAAAATATTTACTAACTGACCCTACACAGAAAACGTATGCTGTACCCTGGTTTATAGCATTATCCATCCCAAAAGTATATACCTTTGTACACTACATCTTTGCACTTACAAATCCAAGTGATAATAAAGTGGCAGTCCGGCAATGAAATTCCAAGGACTAGCTAAAAAGGTGGAAGAGAGGGGCGCCTGGGTGGCACAGTCGGTTAAGCGTCCGACTTCAGCCAGGTCACGATCTCGCGGTCCGTGAGTTCGAGCTCCGCGTCGGGCTCTGGGCTGATGGCTCAGAGCCTGGAGCCTGTTTCCGATTCTGTGTCTCTCTCTCTCTCTCTGCCCCTCCCCCGTTCATGCTCTGTCTCTCTCTGTCCCAAAAATAAATAAACGTTGAAAAAAAAAATTAAAAAAGGTGGAAGAGAAATTGACATTTGTCTATACCTACTTACATCTTACAGATAACCACCAATTCCACCTCACAATAAGGTAGTTTTTGATGCTTACATTCAAAGAAATGTTTAGCCTATGACTTCCCACTTTGCTGCTATTGCAGTTATTTATTACTGTGTCATCAATCACCCAAATATAGTGGTTTAGAATAATAATCCAATATTATCTCTCACAATTCTATGAGCTGACGAGACTCAGCTAGGAGTGGATCTTGCTCACTGTCTCTCATGTAGTTCAATCAACTGGCTTCTGTGCCTGGGGCTAGAGTCATCTGAAGGCTAAGATGTACTAGACTACAACATGGCTCCCTCATATGGTTGACACAGCTGACTGGACTGCCTACCCATGTGGCCTGTCCATGTGAATGAGGCTTTAAACAGCATTACAGCTGGGTTCCAAGAGGAAATATTTCAAGAGAAAGGAAGTGGAAACCACCAGTCTTCTTTAAGGCCACTTCCAGAACTTCCACCATATTCTACTAGTTGAAGTAGTTACAGGCCAGCCCAGATTCACAGGGTTGGAGGAATAGATTCCATTTCTCCGAGGACAAGTGCGTTCATGAGGAGAATGAAATGATAGCATCTATCTTGGAGACAAGCTTCAGCAGCAGAGCTATGGACCTGTGTCCTGTGCTGGAAAACACCTGCAAGCAAGAATCAGGAGGATAGTAATGTCAAGGCCTCTGAGGTTGGAACACTGCAGAGCCACTCTACTCAACCACTAGGTGTCTAGAAGGACTCACTGGTGAGCAGCTCATCTTTCCAAATTAAAAGCCCTGGTAATGATCCTAACTTTTTCTAAATGGAAGCTCCTGAGAGGTCTTTACGAAGATGTGAATGGGAAGGAACAGGGTGCCAAATTTTTCCCAAGGGCTTTTAATTTGGTTAATGTGACTCTACAGAGCATGATCATATCACTTTCAGACAATTCCGGTAGCAAGTAAGTAATTTCCTTTTACTGCTACAGAGTTAATTTGCGTGTGCAGAAAAAAATAATTAAAAAAACCTAATTGTACAAGCTACACTGTGTTCTGAGCCCACTAGAAGTTGATATCAGCATCACCACCTCTGAGATCTGTTATCTGTAATAGAAACAGCTGTTGTACCTAATGAAAACACTTGAAATTTTCATCTGAAGCAGCAGAATTATAGCAGCACCTCCTAGTTCCACGTACTTAAAGGGTCTGTCAGAATCCCCATTACCTAACACAATTTCCAGGGCTTCACTTTGTTATAGGTCTATAAAAAGCCCATCAAGAGGAAATCTGATTCATGACTGCTGACCTCCTGTCTACATTTTTTTTCTTTGAGATTTCTTGAAGAACTCAGAAGAAGAAAGAAAGAGACAATTGTGTTTTTTCCTAATTTACCAGGATGAAAATATATTCTTTATAGAGTTTTAGGAAAGTGGCTTTGGTTTTGGTTTGGCTTTACAGCATATTTCCTTTCCAGTAATTAACTCAA